GCTCCTCCTGGGCCGCCAGAGGGCGCCGGCCGCGAGCGGTGCAGAGGTGCGGCCCGCACGTGCGCAGTAGCGACCTGTGGCCGCCCGAGGACCGCTCCGCCGGGGCAGGATCCAGCGTTCAAATCCCGGCTCCGCCGCCGCCCTGGAACTGTAGGACCCGGACAGTCGGCTTCACCTCTCTGTCCCTCACATAGACCGCTTCTCATAGGGCTGTTGTTTGGAATATATTAGCAGATCCAATCACGTAGTACACAGTAGACACTGTTAGCTCATTTGTGCATTTGTGTACCTTCAAGTATCACGACATGCCGTCAGCTGGTCCCTAGCTTATTTCCTTACCTCAGTGGCTCTCAAACGAGGGCTCTCTGCTTCCATCTCCATCCTCACCAGGGGACATCTGGCAATGTCTATAGACATTTCTGTTTGAAGGATTGAGGGAGTGCTACTGGCCTTCAGCAGGTAGAGCCAGGTCTGCTGCTTAAAGTCCCATGGTGCCCAAGACAGCTCCAGAACCGAGGATCATGGGGCATGGGCTCAATTCTACTCTGCCGCCAGTCAGCTGTGTGACACTGGCAGAGATTCCATGTCCCTAGACATGTTTCCCCCCTTGGAAAACTTTTGGATGGAATGACAGCATCCACCTCTGAGGGTGTTGTGAAGACTGAGTGGGGACATGCACGGGGCTCAGAACAGGGCCTGACCCAGGACGACTGTCATTTTGGTCTACTGCAGTCATGCCCTTAGCATGTGGCCATTAAACTACATGCCCTTAACATATCACTAGTGTGCAGCAGGTTGCTCACATGTCATCCAAGTGTCCCTAGTAGGGCCTTGATATATGTGGCACAGCATGGGCACGGCATCCATCCCTGTGGTCCAGGGGTGAGATCTGGCCAGGTGGGGCTGTTTGACGAGGACACAACTTGTGGCCCAGAACCCGCCTATATAGTCACCCCGTGGCTTGGGTACCCACAGGTGGATGGGGAGGGTGAGATCCAGGTTCTCTGCCCCTCAAGGTCCTCATGAAGGGCTGGAGGGGATGCCGGACCCTCAGCAGAAGGCACACTGTCGCCTGAGTCCCTCCCCGGTGCCCAGGTGCTGTGCATTATTTTTTTTGGTCTTCACAACACTCCACAACACTATCATTAGCCCATTTCACAGATGTAGCAATAAAGGCCCAGGGAGTAGAGAAGAGACTTGCCTATGGGTACAGACTGTTGGTATCTGGGGTTAAACCCAGGCTGGTGCTCTCTAAATGGTCACAGGTGACAGTCCTGCCTCAAGACTCAACAGAGACGAAGAGAGATGACCTCAGAGACAGAGATGCTCAGAGACCCAGACAAAGGCCTCTGGACAGTGGGGGGTGGTGGTGGAAGAAGGTTGGTCTCTGTCTGACCAAGCCCCCCCAGAACAATGCAGACTGCCCCCCTAGGTGGAAACAATGACACAACCAGCTCCCAATACCAAGGGCCTGACATCACGAGGGGGGGCTGGGAGTGTGCCCCGCCTCTTGGCAAGCTGCTACGGCCAATGAAACAGCCTTGGAAGAGACCCGGGCCGCCTCTGGAGCTTCAAAAACGTGTGAGGAGGGAAGTGGGTGCAGACGGAGCTCCAGCTGCTGCCAAGGTCCCAGCATCAGTGCCCTGCTGTCCACGCCAGAGCCCACCAGCCAGCATGTCTTCTGCTCACTTCAACCGAGGCCCTGCCTACGGGCTGTCGGCTGAGGTCAAGAACAAGGTAGGGCTGCAGGGTCTCCCTGGCCTGGCCTCCCCGTCCTGCCAGGCCAGAGCCCCATTCCTGGGGCTCCCTGCATCCCCTCCCGGTTGTCCTGTGTGACTTGGAGCCCGAGAGGAGGAAGGGGGTGAGGAAGGGAGAGGCTACCTCTCTCCCCCAGTAAACATCACAGAGTCCTCAGCTGCCGTTGGGGGTGGTGTGGGAGGCACACAGCCACACAATCAGTGGTGTCCAGGCCTTTGCAGACATCCCCACCTGACCTGAATCCTTCGTTAACTCTTTGTGTTCCTGGGGAGCAGACATATGGGAAGATGTGTTGCCATTCCCCACACCCCCAGTCTGACAAAGAAATTGGGGAGTGTCTGAGAGCCAGGGTTCCTGGGAGGTGAGTCCTAGAAAGTGTGGGAGACTGTGAGCGGAGAGGAGGATGGTGAAGAAGGGAAGGGAGCAGGCCTCGGAACCGCAGCAGAGGTTGTTTCACTTCAGAGGTAGGAAGATACCAGGACACCACTTTTATGCTATGGATGGGTAAACTGAGGCTCAGAGAGGAGAAGCAAATACCTGGGGTCCCAGGTGAGGCAAGTACAGAGCTGGGACCCTGGACTCACCCCCCCTACGCCGGAATGGGATCAGCTTCTCCAGGGCAGGGAACTTGAAGATCTGATCCCACTGGAATCCTCCCAAGAGCATGGGGGGGCGGGGAAGGAGTCCCTGCTCCATTTGACAGAGGGGAATACTGAGGCTCAAGGTGGCTTTTCCCAGGGTTTCACGGTGAGGAAGTGGGGAGCTGGCATTGGAACCTGGGTCGGGGGATCCTCGGAGTTGGAGGAGGGGGAGAGTGGGGGGCGGGTGATCGGCGAGAGACCGATCCTAGCACCGACCCCTCCCCCAGCGCCAGAGCCGCTTGGAGCCGCCACGCCTTATAAGGCGGCCTCGGGGAGCCTGGGCCACGCTATATAAGGGCCGGTTTGCTTTATAAAGTCGGGCTGGGGGGGGGGGGGGCGGCAGGGCCAGGGCCAGGTGAGGGGGCCGACCCTCCCACCACCTCCCCCCACTCAGGAGGAGGGGCAGCCTGATCCCAGAGGCTGGGAGCCTGGCTGGGCTGGGGCGGAGGGTCCTGGAGAAAGGAGGAAAGGGGGAGCAAAGTGGGGAAAGGGAAGAGCCGGAGAGACACAGACAGAGATCCTGGAAGCCCGAGACACCCAGAGATAGGCGCGGGGGGCGGGGAGTGGGGGGGCGGCAAGCCATGATGGAGATAGGACCGAGACTGGGATGGAGAGGCAGAAAGGGGCAACAGTCGGGCCCCACTGCTGACAGAAGCTGGGATGCAGGAGCTGGAGCCCCACCCCCACCGGGCAGGGTCTTCCCCCAGAGAGATGGGAGAAGCCAAGAACTGCCGGAGAGATGGGGGTGGGGGAATGAGGAAAGAGAAAGAAGCACACAGACATGGAAGGGGTAGGGGCTAACCCCTACCCAGGCAGAGCCGGAGCCCAGGCAGTGAAGACTTGGGGAGGCTGAGGGGCTGATGGCAGATGACAACAGAGCAGTCTCTGGCAAGCAGCACCCAGGCACCTCTCAGATCTCCTTCCCTGCCTGAGGCACCCCCTCTTTCAAGGGGGGGCAGAGTAGGCAGGACCAAGGGGAAGATAAGCCCCAAGTTTGGCCTGGAGGGGGAACCAGGAGGCCAGGCGCCGCCTCTCCCATCCCAAGGATCGGCTCTCCACGCGCCCCCTCCCTTGTCTCCACTGTCTGGTGCCAAACCTCAGAATGCCCGGAATGGCCCCCTGGGCAGGTGCCACCTCAGCCCTGGCCCTCAGCCCACCCCCAGCCCCCCCATGGCCACTGGGGCAGAATTTCCTTAGTTGGGAAGAGACAAGGAAGATCAGGCCTAGGGAGGCTCAGGTGGGACCCGCGAGCCCAGCTGCTTCCCACGGCATCCTCACCCCCTCTCTGTGCCCCCACCCCAGCTGGCCCAGAAGTATGACCACCAGCGGGAGCAGGAGCTGAGAGAGTGGATCGAGGGGGTGACAGGGCGGCGCATCGGCAACAACTTCATGGACGGCCTCAAAGACGGCATCATTCTTTGCGAGTGAGTGGGGCTCTCGCGGCCCAGACCCTGCTTAGGCTGAGCCCCAACCTGGGCATCCACCTCCACACAGCCCCTCAACCTCTCAAACAACCATGAGCCTGGACCTTGGCTAAGCACTATATCGGATCCCTCTGGGCTGGCAAATAATCATTTTGCTTATTTAATAGGCAAAGAAAACTGAGGCTCTGTTAGCTACAACACATTGCACAAAGTCCTACGCTGTTTCAATGGTAATGACTCCAGAATCTTAATCACCATACCATACAGGGCAGGCCCATCTGTGGCCTCCAGGGTACTCAGAAAAAACAGTCATAGCTATGAGGCAGTGAGCACCAGCAGCTCTTCCTGGCTGGCTTGGTGGTATAAGGAGCGGTGTGACGTGGACATTTAAGTAGGCCCTTGCGGCTCCCAAGCCCCAGTTCCAGGTTCCTCTGCAATCCCGATGTCCCTAGACAGGGCCCCCGAGCACAGGCAGGGCCCTATCTGCATCTCTAAGTCTGACCCACAGCAAGGAAATGGGGGCTTTCTGAAGGCGCAGCCTCACTAAGTCTTAGATGCTGGGCAGAAAAGTTTATCCTGAGCCATGTCCACCCACTAGAAACAAGGAATGGGGGGAACATGCTAGTGTCCCAGTTCAACGGGCTGCTCAGACCTCAGAGTGCAGAGCCAGCTGGGCATGGTGGCTCATGCCTGTAAATCCCAGCACTTGAGAATCACTTGAGGCCAGGAGTTCAAGACCAGCCTGGGTAACATAGCAAGACCTTCTCTACAAAATTTTTAAAAAGTGAGCTGAGTGTGGTGGCACATGCCTGTGGTCCAAGCTACCTGGGAGGCTGAGGCAGAAGGTTGCCTGAGCCCAGGAAGTTGAGGCTGCTGTGAGCCAGGGTTGTGCCACTACACTCCAGCCTCCAAGACAGAGATAGACCCCAACTCAAAAATAGAAAAGAGTGCAGAGCCACCCATACAGTCAGTCAGTCACTCATTTATGCAACAAGCATTTATGAAGCTCCTGCTGTGTGTCGGGGGTCTGGTCTAGGAACTGGGAACTGTGAACAGAACAAGCTGGACTTGGAGCTTGACAGGGAGTTCTGGTCCTAGTAAGTTGGACTAATCAAATAATTGATCAAATAATCGCAGGCTTGCCTGTGTTGGCACATGCCTTGGAGAAATATCAACTGGGGAAGGAGGGTGGGAGCGCCAGGTTTTAGGGTGGGGGTGCTGTTTCCTAGAGTGGTCTGGGAGGCCTTTCTGAGGAGGTGACATTTGAAGAGAAGCTTGGATGAAGTGAGGGAGGAAGGAGAATTGTGATCGGTCGGTCCAAGCCGAGGGGACAGGCAGTGCTAAGGCCCTGACGTAGAAGCATGTTTGGGTGTTCAAGGAATACCAAGAATGTCAGCATGACCAGCACCAAGTGAGCGAAGAAAGTGGTGCGAGAAGAGGCCACAGTGTGACCTGGGGACCAGAGGTCACGCAGAGGAGTTAGGGCTTGATTCTGAAGGCAGCAAGAACCCACTGAAGGTTTCTGAACTGGAGGCAACTTGAGCTGCTTCGAAAAACCCATTCCGGCTGCCGGATGGAGAATGACCTTGCAGGGGGTGAGGAGAAGCTGGGTGTTCATTGCAAGAGCCCAGGAGACAGATGCTGGCAGGCTCAGACCAGGGTGGAGATGGCAGGGAGCAGCAAGTAGACTTCTGGACATATCCAGAAGGCAGAGCCAGGCTGGGTGTGACCCCGTACTGTGGAAGGCTGAGGTGGGAGGACGGCTTGAGCCCAGGAACTTGAGGCTGCAGTGAGTTATGATTGCACCACTGCACTCCAGTCTGGGCCACAGAGCGAGACCCCATCTCTAAATAAACCAGTAAGTAAATAAAGGCAGAGCCAAAGGACTTGCTGAGGGGTCGGATGTGGGGCAGAGAGGAAGAGAAAGGGGGAGTCAAGGGCAAGTGCAAAGGTTCTGACTGAACCCCTGGGAGCGTGTGGCTGAGCTGGGGAGGGCAAGAGGGACAGTTTGGTGGGAAGAGATGGGACGGGAATATGAAACCCTGGTCTCTACAAATAATTTTTAAAAAGAGGCTGGACAAGATCAAGGGAGTGAGCTGGTCTGAGAAGAGGCCATGTGGGCTCCCTGCTGCCTGCTAAAGGACACTGAGATGTGACCGCCAGTAGGGCTCGGACATACCTTGAACAAGGAGGCTTTGACAGGCACCTGAGTCTAGCTCCCTGCAGCTGGCATCCCCTGTGTGTGTGGGTGGCTTGGAGGGGCTGTGGCTGAGAAGTAACAAGGGGGCCTCTGGGCTGCACTGTCCCTTGGAGACCCCTGGCAGCACCTGGGCCCCCACCCCTGCCACCGGTGCTGGGCTTGGGCACAAGTGACCACACATGCATCCCAGCCTGGGCCCCTCACTGTCCCTGCCCTGTGGGGAGAAGTGACACAGTGGTATGGTGTGCCCCTCCCATGCTGGGCTGCCCCTCCCATGCTCCGCTGAAGGGGTGGTGGCTGCGGGGACACCTTCCTCATTCCCCTCCCCGCCTTTGCAGGTTCATTAATAAGCTCCAGCCCGGCTCTGTGAAGAAGGTCAACGAGTCCACCCAGAACTGGCATCAGGTGAGCCCAACCCAACCTCTCTCGCTCCTGCCCACAAGTCCCTCGAGCCCTGCCCACTGACCGCCACCCGCTCCCCTCCAGCTGGAGAACATCGGCAACTTCATCAAGGCCATCACCAAGTACGGGGTGAAGCCCCATGACATCTTCGAGGCCAATGACCTGTTTGAGAACACCAACCACACCCAGGTGCAGTCCACCCTCCTGGCCCTGGCCAGCATGGTGAGTGTGGGTACAGGGGAGCACGGGGCTCCCGGGCCGGGATGCATGAGTGGTGGCAGGGAATCAGGTGCTGCTGAGTGTCTCCAAGGGGACAGTGCGGCCTCCCCATCCCACCCAGGCCAAGACGAAAGGAAACAAGGTGAATGTGGGGGTCAAGTATGCAGAGAAGCAGGAGCGGAAGTTTGAGGCTGAGAAGCTGAGAGAAGGACGGAACATCATCGGGCTGCAGGTATCGCGGGCGGGAGGGCACCCTGCTGCCCAAGGCTTTCAGGGACAGGGCATTTGGCATTCACTAAACTGTAAGCCAGGGTTAGGCACAGTGGCTTACACCTGTAATCCCAACACTGTGGGAAGCTGAGGCAGGAGGATCGCTTCTGCCCAGGAGTTCGAGATCAGCCTGGGTAATATAGCAAGACCCTGTCTTTACCTAAATGTTTAAAAAATTTAATTATTATTATTATTTTTTTGAGTTGGAGTCTCACTTTGTCGCCCAGGCTGGGGTGCAGTGGCACACTCACAGCCACCCCATGTCAATCCGCTGGGCTCCAGCGATCCTTTCACCTCAGCCTTCTAAGTAGCCGGAACTACCACACCCAGCTAATTTTTGATTTATTGTAGAGACGAGGGCTCACCAAGTTGCCCGGTCTGGTCTCGAACCCACAGGCTCAGGCAATCCACTTGCCTCAGCCTCCCAAAGTGCTGGGATTATAGGCTGAGCCACCAAACCTGGCCTTATATTTAATTTTTAAATAATACTATAAGCACTGTGCTCAGCATCGTCTGTTCACTAACTCACCCACTCTGCCACCAGCCCCAGGGGAGTGGTGCTGCTATCACCACACCCTTTCTACAGATGTGGAAACTGAGGCCTGGAGAAGTTGACTCACTTGCCCAGGTCTCCCAGTTGTGTGGTGGGCTGGGACTTCAACCCTAAAAGTCAGTCATGTGATATGCCCACCACTCTGGGCCTCAGTTTCCAGTCTCTGATGCTCACATGTACACAGTGTCTCAGGCTCTGCCATCGGCTGCGTCTCCTGGCCTGTGGTGAGCTCTGTGGTCCTTGGTGTGATTTTCCCTCTGGTTCCTAGATGGGCACCAACAAGTTTGCTAGCCAGCAGGGCATGACGGCCTATGGTACCCGGCGCCACCTTTATGACCCCAAGCTGGGCACAGACCAGCCCTTGGACCAGGCCACCATCAGCCTGCAGATGGGCACCAACAAGGGGGCCAGCCAGGTGAGTGGGGGCAGTGGATCATGCCAGGCACACCCAGGCCCCTTGCTGGCCCCACGGCCTGACCATGCTGCCCTCCGTAGGCTGGCATGACCGCGCCAGGGACCAAGCGGCAGATCTTTGAGCCAGGACTGGGCATGGAGCACTGTGACACGCTCAACATTAGCCTGCAGATGGGCAGCAACAAGGGTGCCTCACAGCGGGGCATGACAGTGTACGGGCTGCCGCGCCAAGTCTACGACCCCAAGTACTGCCTGACGCCCGACTACCCAGAGCTGGGCGAGTCGGCCCACAACCACCACCTGCACAACTACTACAACTCTGCCTAGGGACACGAGCCCCCCCCCCCCCCCCCCCCCCCCC